CCGATTTGTTCAATGAAATAAAAAATTTTTTTTTACTTTAATCTGTAATGTATTTTCCATTTTGTTCGATGACCTTTTGCCATCTCTCTGACAACTTGAAAATTCCATGCTCGTAGAAAGTCTGATTCTTTTCGGCCAAAAACTGAGTTAAGTGAGATTTTACAGCGTCATCGTCATTAAAAGTTTTACCACGAAGGGAGTTGTCCAGGGATCGAAATAAGTGGTAATCCGATGGCGCGAGATCAGGGCTATATGGTGGGTGTAACATCAATTCCCAACCAATATCCATGAATTTTTGCCGAGTGGACAAAGACGTGTGCGGCCTAGCATTGTCCTGCTGGAAAATGACACCTTTACGATTGACCAATTCTGGTCGCTTTTCCTTGACCGCTGCATTCAATTTGTCCAGTTGCTAACATTCACGGATAATAAAAAATAACATAATAATAATAATAATAATAATAATTTCATACTATAACATTTATGGATATCATAAAAATGGGAGTGAGAGACATCTATAACTGAAATCGGCAATTAGTTGGCAACCCAATATTTTTTTCCTTACACTTCCTTACAGAGTTGTGTGGAATCATATAATTTTGAATACACTTAACCGTTCAGTTTATCGTTCCGAAGAAAAAAATACCATATTAGATCCCACATGTAAAAAAATTATTAGTATCGACTAAGATATCGACTCCTTTAATGTGACACTAACTTTAACGAATAATTTTCTACACGACTTTGCACTGTTTGTACTCAAATATCCTGTAAACTAATCATTTTTTAACATGTAAGGTCTAATATTTTTTTGTTCGAAACGATGAACTGAATCGATAAGTGTATTCAAAATTATATGATTCCGTTAGAAAATCAAAGTTGACCTCTGTTTGTTCTGTACGTGTCCACTTATAGAAAAATGAATTATGTCATCTTGTATTTAACGTTTTAATTACCGTCCCGGTGTTACAACCGAGGTCGGTCTGCCCCATGTGCTTAAACTAGTAGTAAAATAACAGAACAGTTCACCTGCGATCGTGTAATTCGAATTAGACACGCTAGGTGAAGCTTTGTTACAGGTAATGGAAGGAGGTGTTCTTCAAAATGGCGCGATCGACATATACCAGCACTATTTCGACGACATGGTGCCGACGAAGCTGGTGCGACCAGTCAGTCTCAGGTGAGCAAGTGCGAAGCTTCAATTTCATTGAATTTTCCGTCACCTCATTAGCCTTGCGTGTAATTCAAAGCCACGGCGTTACGGGATTAAGGTTCCATTCGTGAGTAACATTCTGCATACTCGTTTCACTGCGGTAACAATTCCCTTTTGTAACAATGTCTGCTCGAATCGAAACATTCTCGATTAAACGGTGGATCTAAGTGAATCGAAGCATCATGAATCAAAGCAAAAACGAAATCTTCTATGAACACCAAAGGTAAAGTCAGTAGTACAATAAAATACAGAGTCCAACGTAGTTGTGTCGATCGATTCGTAGGAACCTAGGAATATTAAAAATTGTATATCACACTACATTAATTAGTTATTTAATTAAAATTTACAATTTTCTATAATTACGTTCAACTCAATTTTCCAGTAGAACTTACAGATCCTGAAAATTTAGAAAATCACGAAACATCGTACAGGAAATACGTCTTCGACGACTAAAGAAACGAATCGTCGATCACTCATTCTAGAAAAGTAATTTTCTAAAAATTGTATAAATTATATAAATTAGATTATAGCCTACAATGGTACATTTTATCAATCTAATTTATATAGTCGCCGATTTTCAGACGATTAATTTTCTATAACAAGCGACAGATGATTCATTTCTTCAGTCGAATAAATCAAACATCGATTTTTCGACGATTAATTTTGTTGGATCAGCGGTTGACAAAAGGATTGATCAATTGATTAAACCAACCGGCGATTTTTCAACGATTAATTATTTTGAAATCCACGATAGACGATTAACGTCATCAATCGATTATATCAGTCGTCAATTTTATGATGATCAATCTTTTTAATTGTAAGCATTGACCAATCAATTAAACTGAAAATTTTAATCGATTAAGTAAAGGAATTCAAGCAAAAATCAGCAACCAGAGATTTTCCAAATAATATTTGGAAAATGTGCATTTTGATAGTATTTTGTTCGCTGATTCGAATTATGTACAAATTATTTTGCCAATTCGTTTGATAATAAAAAAAAATTCTTTTAGAAAAAGAGATCAGTTTAAAAAATCTGTTCCCAGTTCTCTTCAACATCATATACACAGAGACTACAGTAAAAATTTCAATTAAAAAAATTTATTATTCTTCGAATTATTTCAATTTTCCTGATAATTATTGGCACTACGGTCGTGTTTATGTACCTATTAGATTTTGTCAAAATTTTATTCGGTAGACTGATGAAAAATAAAG